CTAGGTGGGTGAATCAAAACTTGCTTTGAGTAGATATTGATAATGGGTTGTTGTCAGGCTTTGTTTGGACTGAGTACTTAAGTTTCATTCTCTGAGCATCAACAGGAGAAGCAGTTGACACCCTCTGTTGATTGCAAGCTGAAAATCTGGGGCGGGATTTTCATGAAAATCCAAGCTTAAAAGAGTCTGAATCCGAAACTGCCAGCAGAACAAGCTTTGATCTGAAAAGCGTCTGACGCTTCAGCGTGGCCACAGTGCCCGGGCATCCACGACTACTGCTTTGCCTATTTTCTCTGGTCATCTGCTAAATGCAACATGTGCTACAAAGACATCTCTGTCATTCATGGGAACAGGAAAAGACACATCTGTCATAGACAACAAAATCTTAACAACTTGTCTCTGCTTAAGAAAGCCTCTTCTGCCCACCCTTTATTTACTTTTGGCCTATACAGGTGTCCTAATTTCTAATACCTGGAAATTCAATAAACTCTTCCCACTGAGCAACAACTCCTCATTTGAATATCACACAATCTTGGTTACTGCTCCTATTAAAATGTACATTGCTATCATTTACCGCCCACCAGGGTGTAATCTGAATGATTTTGTTGTGGAACTGGACATGCTACTCTCAGAAATCCCTGATGATGGAACACCACTGATTGTAATGGGAGACATGAATATACGCACTGATAAAGCCCAGGCAACAGACTTCCTTGCTCTCCTATCCTTATTTGACCTCACGCAGGTCCCAACTCCTCCTACCCACAAAGCTGGCAACACCCTTGATTTAATTCTGACTCGGAACTGCTCGACAGGAAACCGTTACACCGCACCCGCCTGTCAAGCTGGTCAGCTACACGCCTTATTGTGAATAACTCTTATCCTTCATCAAATCAAACGACCCCCGTACAGTGTGTGTCGATTGAGACATGAGCTAATCAGACCTATTTGTTTGTTTTGTACCAAGTTGTAAACATGTTAATCTCTGCTGTAAAAACAGGCTTTTTGAATGTGGTTTTTCAGATTAAATAAATATTTCTATATAAATGCACTCCTTTATGTCTACTTATGAGTATACATTTCAGATTTGAAATGACAAGACTAAAATGTGCATTAATGCTCAACTCAATAGCTAAGGAAAGGAAGTCTACTTTTACACAACTTTTTTATTCTTTTGACATTTTTTTTCATGTAGTTCATTTCTTAAAATGGGATGGAACAGAGTCATTGCAAAAATATGCCCTTAAACACAGCCCCATTCTTAAATCAAGGTACTGTAATGTTGATGACAGCTTTAAGTGAAGCAACAACACCATCTATGGGTGACACATTTATATAGAGCAGTCATGTAGCACAGTCATGGCTAGTTAGTCACTGTTTGTGCATGTAACCGGCAGCCTCTGAATTAAAGCCTATACATAGCTACGTCGTTATCCGCCTGCTTCATCTCAGGGTTTTACAAACATTACAGGTACATCGAGAGTAAATAAGATCAATAACTTAAACCCTAACCCTAACCCGATAAAAATGATTTAGACATGTAGTCTTCCCAGATCAATATCACATAATATCAACTTCTCCCGTCTAAACTGAACAAAGGGTTTTCAAATGGGAAGAAAATGGTTTGATTGCGAGTTGTTTGGAGGAGATCTATTTTTATTTGAACAGCTGAAGCATGAATACAGTTTTCCAAGGTGCAAACCCTCCTCCTTCTTCTGAAGCCTGTGGATGATGTACTGCCGTCTTATCTGCTGGCCATCTTCTCTCACCAGAACTTTGACTGTTGAAAAGTCATTCTGAAGAAGCTCGAGCATGTGACATGGATCCAGGAGAACATGGACTTTTAGTGAGAGGTCTTCAGGATGGCAAAGAAAGAAAGAAAATATCAGTTATTCATTAAATCCTTTTTTTTGTTCTCATCTATTTTTCTGTATTCATCTGTGTGTAAGAGCACATTTATAAATTCAACAGTGTACTACCCAGACAACAAAGGTACAGTATTCAGGTAATCAACATCAATTCAAAGTTAATAAGGTAAACCTTATTGTAATCATGCTATTTTCAGCTCTCTTACTCACTTGCACAATGATATTCCACATCAAATTGCCTCAGATTTTGTGTGAGGAAAAATTATTTATTGTGGATAGTACTTCATCTTAACATGAAACAAATATAACCTGAATTATTTAAATCATTAACAGGTCCCAACTCTCTGTGCTTTAGTACAGAACATACAGTAGCTCATTTATTATTAACATGAGCTCGGTACATGGCTGTATTCTTCAAACTATTTCTTGTACTAATTGCTTTATATCTTATTTTAATTCCATATTTTATTTATATTTTATATTTCTACTGCTATATTCTGTGTAAGAGCATCTGTAACGATTAAGAACTATATTAATAGCCATATAAAATTTCCCTGAACTCATACAAAGTAAAAAAAAAATTAAATTTGGTAACAGTTTGCACAAATCTTAAGACACTACATCAACCATGTAACGTTAATGTCATCCTCTATAACCTACACAGCATATTAGGTTCAGTTGAGTTAAGTTTATGTGAAGTACTGACGGATAATTACTACACAAAGTTTGTTTTTTAATGTCGACATTTACGTGGAGTATAACATTCATCATAACGTCAGATAACCATATTTACAGTCTGCGGTTAACCACTGAGGTGAACCTTAGCTTCTAACATCACACAAACTCATTATTTTCAACAACAACATCTTAACAACAAACATTTCTAAACCATTGTAAATAATGGGCTACACTGAGTACAGTTAGCCGACTGGTTTACAAGCTAACGCTAAACAAGCTAGGGCCGTAAATATAAATACCAACACATAACCACCGAGGTGACCTTTAGTTTCTAACATCACACAAACTCATTCTTTTCAACATCTTAACAACAAACATTTCTAACAATTCAGAATTACTTTTTCTCCAGTTTAATAGTGCTGGCTAGATATGTTAACATTAGCATCTTTAGCATGAATGGGAGATCGGCTAAACCATTGACCGTAAATAATGGGCTACGTTTGTTAAACAAACTCTCCAAACGAAGTAAAAAAAGGCATAACCGTTTTCCTTAATAAAATAAAATCCAATGAGTTATTAAAAAATGGGCCAAATTTTCATTAGCCAACTACAGGCTTCTGGAGGGGGATGTGGGCCAAACTTTGATACTCAGAAACATCCGCTGTGGAAGACATTCTGATAACCTTGCTGATATGAAGACCGAGTCTCTCACACTTACAGTTACTGTAGATGTGGTGAACAGTTAATGTTGTAGACTGATAACCTCTATATCTACCATATTTGCTTTGTTGGTAATGCTTATGTGGGAACAGAATTTGATTTTTCCTGAGAAATCCTGTAAAGAACTTTTGTATAAATTCGGTTTTGACGGAAAAAGATATCTGATGATTTACGGACATCTGTGTTTTAAGAATAAGAGTCGTGAAAAAAGATCAAATTTGTGCAACAAAGAAAAAAAAGTTTTATGAGCTTACACAGCAATGGGAAATTTAAGTGAGTCCCATCCTGAGGTATATGATAAGAAGAGTGACATTTTGTGCACTTTGCTTGCATATGTTATCTTAGTTTTGCTCCTGGATCAAGAGCCTATATTCTTGATATATTTCCTCCTCCAATCTGTATGCAAGTGATGTCCACCGTGTCCTGATTCTAGAGAGGTCACTGCAGCTGCTGGATCTGACTCCATGGACAAAGATCTGAGCAAACAGCTGGACATTTGAAATAGATTTATTTTGGGAACAAATCATCAAGGGCTTTTATCATTCAGTACATCATCATTCATTGAGTTTGGACAATGGCATTCTAATCCATTCGCACCTTCTGACAAGGCACTAAATCAATTGCTGGGTGGGTTTGTAGCCTGCTGCCACGGATTAAAAGCTCCCATAGGAATTATAGTTTGTATTGACTCACTGTCTGAATGTCTGCTCTCTGCTGCTGCCCTCTGGTGGTGAGAATACAATTAGGTTATAGCTCTCAAAACACTACAGATCTATCTGGTTGTTTAACATAGTGAATAGCAGTGTGTGAGTATCCATACACATCACTTAGCACTACATCTTGCCGAATAAATACTTAACAGTTTTTTTTCTATAACAAAGCTATTAGCTCAATGTGGAACTGGGTGTATTTTATTATCAAGAGGCTCATGTTGTGTGGGAACTCTGTGAGAAACTTTTCTTTCAAGTCATTCTCCTTGGGGAAGTCACAGATCAGATCTGACGGCCACCAACCTACATCACTTTAAGTCAGAGATTTCCTGGTAGCTACAAAGAAAGCCCAAACATTTCTTAGGATCACATAGGATGGATGGATTTTGAATGAAAAAGAAGGAAACAGATATAGGATGCTAATTTTGTTTTAAAGTTGTGTTACAGCATCAATTTATCTAAAGAAAATGAATAGACAACCAGCATTTTGCACCATATTTACAGGATCATAGTAACAAGATTTGTGATAAAAAAAACATCTTCTGTGAATCATCTAAAAACCTCACTTTCAAATGTAGTTTGTTTGCTTGTCAATTACATTTAATGTTTAAGTGATATTTACCTGTTTCCACCCTTTGAATGAAATGATAATATGTTTTGTATGTAAATATTTACTGTTGGTCAAAAGGCATAATTTATCCTTCATCCTACTTCACTGAATCATCAATTATTTAAGAAAGGACTTAATCATGCAAAGAAAAGATTTAAATATATGTTTGCATTTTATGAAGGAAGTCATGATGGAACAAGTTTACAAATTCCATCCCAAAACACCGTCCTACTCTGTCTGTAGGGGATGGGTGTGGATATGCAGTGTCAGATTACACACAGACCTGCTCAACAGGCCCTCTTCATCCCCCCACTGCACTTTCATTGGTTAAGCGCGAACTGCTGGACTCAACCAGCCTGTTTCCTGGATGGCAGAGACCTTTGTATAAGAGGAAGTGACATCATAGCACCCAGAACTGCCACAAATACAGTGAAAACAGATGAGGATCAAACGGCTTTCAGATGTTTTCTGATATGTTGCAGCATTTTTAGCAACAAAAGAAATCTCTGAGGAAAAGCATTCGAGGGTTAAAACCAACAATTTTTTTACGCCACAGTGAAATAGTATGCTTGCTGGGAACAAAGAGACTCTGCGAGGCTGTACATGTCAGAGAGGAGTTGTTGTGTTCTTCTCCAACCCATTAATGAGTGGTAAGTTACTGCTCACACTACAACTGGGGAATATTTTTAATGATTAGAAAGTGTACTATATTATTCAAATGTGTATTTATGATACAAAAGTTTCTGTTTCTCTGGACACCTAGAGGTTGAATCTGACTGGTCTCTGATTCATGATGCTGCCTTTAATGGACGTCTCCTTGCTCTGCAAAGACTCATTGCTCAGGTAAACTTTCAGGGGATTTTGAAGGCTAGATTAAGAATATTTTGCCATTATAATAACATGCATATCCACTTTATTTGAACCAGCATCCTGAGATAATGGCTACTTAAGAGAGACCCTATTTAATTTAGAGATAACCTCTGTATCTACAGTGCCTCAATTAATCGTTTACCTCATTGCTATTTGTTCACAGGGTTCCTGTGTTAACCTGAGCACTCTTGACCAGGTGTCTCCCCTCCATGGAACCTGCATGCAAGGCTATGTGGCTTGTGCAAAGCTTCTGATTGAGAATGGCGCAAATGTTAGTTAGACATTAGGATCTAGTTTGGCTAGTTTTTTGTAAATGTAACTGAATTCAAGATAAACCCAATTTAAACGTGCACTCCTGAATGTTGGAGTTGAAAAGGTACAACCGTGTGAATTATTGTTCAGTTAAACTTCATGTTGGTGGATTTTAGTGAGAGATTAACCAAGAAAAACTTGAAAACATCCACGCAGACACAGCCATGCATGCAGCAGTTATTCTGCAAGTGCAAAGTTTAAACTGTCAGACTGCCTCAATAGGCTGCATGTTTGAAAGAGGATCTGCAGAGATCTTCATATTTAACTGAAAACAGCATAAAGACAACATTTCAGGTGTTGAAACTGAGAAATGTTTTATGATTTTGGAAATGTTTATGCCCATTTTGAATTAGAAGCTAGAAACACATAGGTGAGAAAGAGTATTGTGTACCACTATGTTGCGTCACCTCTTTTAACAAAACCCTGTAAGCATTTGGGAACTTATGTTGTATTTTTAAAAATGCAATGTTTGACAATTATTTCTTAATTTAGAATTTCTGGTGTTTGGGGTTTTCTTTGTTTTAGCTCACATTTTATAACGCACCAAACATTTTTCTCTTAGCATTCACAACTTATTTTGTTGCCACTGCCCTTAACTTTTTTGAAAAATGTTGCTGGCATGAATTTTAAAATTGGCATATGATATTCTAAAAAGTAAAGGGACTTATCAGATTCAACATCTGATACATTATTTTTTTTGTATGGGTTTTAATCAAATATAGAGTTTAAATGTTTTGATAATCATCACGTTTCATTGTAATAACATTTTTCACAGTGTCCCAACCTTTTTGGAAACATGGTAGTATATATTGTTTTGTATAGAGATATCGGGAGAACTGAAATAAATATCTTCCCATGACAGGTAAACATGTCCACATTGGATGGACAAACTGCTCTGTCAGAAGCTTGTGCAAAGGGTCATGTGACCTGCGTATCGCTGCTTCTTAAACATGGAGCGACTCCCGTGGGGAACAGTCTGACCAGCTCTCCACTACACAGGGCTGCAGCAAAAGGTCAGAGCTCACATTCTGCTGCATATGCTCAGATAATCTATGCAAAGCCAGTTTGTTTAGAGTGCCAAAACAACAGAATACATCTAGTAATTGTATAATGTATAAAGAAAAAAAGCTGTGTTGTTGCAGGCTTCAAAGTAAAAACAATTGCTTAATCTTCCCAGGAGAGTCTGAGCAGATTTCAAAGCAAACCTTTCATGTGCATCATTTCTTATTGTGATGATTATGGTAACTTTCTTTTTTTCTAGGTCACTCAGAGTGCATCGAGCCTCTTGTTCAGCACGGTGCAGATGTGGATCATTACATCGACCAATCAGGTTCCCCTCTCCACGTTGCTTGCTCCAATCAGCATCTGGGTGCTGTGAGGAAACTGCTTCAACTTGGTGAGAATGCTTTTGGTTAAACTCTCCAGTAAATTAACTATTTAAAGTTAACGAGGAAACTATATGAACTGTTCTGATAGTGGAGTTTGAAAAATTTGTTCATAAGATTGCTAACAAATTGACGACCTCTCCAGGGGGTATAGTAGCCCATTTCTAAAAGTAACTGTACTCCAAGAGAACACCATTTAGATTTATTTTTAGTCTATTTACATGTTTTAAAACAAATGTAATTTAAATTGTGTTTGTAAATGTACAATCTTCAGTTTGTTCAAAATTTTGTTGAATCAATTACACAAATTGAAGATTGAAATTTTTGGACTCAAAATTGAAAAACCTATTTTGATGGTTAAAAATAATTACTGTACGGAAGATGTCCTGGCCTTCCTCGATAGCAATTCACCTATCACTTGGCAAAATAAAATGTAAAGAGATAGAAAAAGGAAGCATAAAAGATAAAAGATGCAGATGTTACAGATGGGCAAGAAAAATGGTGTTTTGTAATTGTTATTGCCCGAGTTTCATGTAATTCCTGGTTACCACATTGCAAAATAAAAGAAAAGGATTGAAAAAGGCAGCTGTTTGAAAAGATAATGATGCAGATGTTATAGATGGCCAAGGAGTAAAGTTCCTGTGTAATGTCCGATGTATCAAATATAATGCAAACAAAAAACTTTTATTTTTTATTTTTTTACATTTTGTTAGAGGACCAAATGAAGACTTCAGATTCAAAATACAAGAATTTTCTGTCCATTATTTCTTGGGTCAGGCATTATAGGGTTGACTTTACAACAAGATCCTTGGTACTTAACAGATGTACAATTCATGTGCACATTTAAATACGTTACTGCTTTTACACAAATACTTTAACTTGTGGGCATTTTCAGTGTCCACCAGTGTAGAATCTTTATATGTAAAAAACTATTTATTTTTTGAATGTGAAAAATAATGCAGTAAAGAAATGTGTAAGTCAAAAGTAGAGAAATAGAAAGTAGATATTTTTTTTTTTTTTTTTTTTGAGTAGAGCCAAAAAGTAGCATCAAAAGTAGACATAAGTGGGGCACACTGGTGGCGCAATGGTTAGGGCGCACGTCCCATGTATTGAGACTCTCATCTCAAGCAGTAGGTCCAGGTTCACTTCCACCTGTGGCCCCTTTCCGCATGTCATTTCCCACTCTCTCTCCCTGGTTTCCAACTCTATCCACTGTCCTCTCTCTGCATTAAAGGCACAAAAAAGCCCAAAAATAAATCTTAAAAAAAAAAGTAGGCATGAGTTTCTCAAAATTAAACTTAATTTCATTACTTGTGTAAATGTACTAAATGCTCAGTTGTTTGACTGGCTGTGCAATATCTATACTGCTTGACACCAAGTAAGGTAAGTAAGTAAAGTTTATTCATATAGCACTTTTCACAGACCATGGTCACAAAGTGCTTTACATCAATAAAAAACAACAACAGCAAGAACAAATGAGTACGTCATGGACAACATTATAAACTCCTGTTATAGCCACTGGTTGGACATGATTACCCATAGGCCTGTCTAAACATTAACGTTTTTAATAGTTTTTTAAAAGACTCAACTGAGTCAGAAAGACGTAGCGAGGCGGGTAGAGAATTCCAGAGGATTGGTGCTATGGACTGAAACGCACGATCCCCACGAGTCTTAAAATGTTTTCTGCGGGACAGACAGCAGGTGTAGGGGGTTTGACCTTAGTGAATTGGTGGGTGAATACGGGTGAATGAGTTCTGACAGATAATCTGGGGCCTGACCGTGAACGGCTCTGAAGGTGAGAATGAGAATTTTAAACTTAATCCTATATGCCACAGGGAGCCAGTGCAGTGTTTTCAGTAAGGGAGTGATGTGAGACCGTTTGTTTGACCTGGTGAGTAATCAAGCAGCAGCATTCTGGATTGACTGGAGACGGTTTAGGGCGGACGTGCTAAGTGAGGTGAAAAGAGCATTACAGTAATCGATAGGAGATGAGACAAAGGCGTGCAAAATCATCTCAAGTTCTGTGAAAGACACTAATGTTGTCAGCTTACTGATATTTCTTAAATGAAAAAAGCATGATCTGGTTAGCAGCTTGACATGGCTGTCTAGTGATAATGAAGAATTCAAAATGACTTCCAGATTACGGAGGTTGGTGCGAACAGCAGAGGAGAGGGGCCCAATGTTTTGCATGATTGTAGAAACATACTTGTCTTGGGCAATAACTAGGACTTCTGTTTTTTCTGCATTTAGCTGTAGGAAATTATCAGTTGATAATAATAATAAATAATAATAATAATAAAGAGGATATTTGATGCCCTACTGTATACAAAGAAGACCTCTTACATAATGTAAAGACATCATACCATATCTGACCTCTAATCTGTCCATGTTCTTCTTCAGGTGCTGCTGTGAACACCTGTGTGTCTGGAGACTCTCCTCTGCACATAGCTGCTCGTCTGTCCAGCCCTGAGCTGGTGTCTGTCCTGCTTGACCACGGGGCCAACAGCTCTCTAAGAAACTCAGAGGGCAAGCAGCCACTGCACCTTACAGCCCCAAACAGCCCTGTGGAGAGGATGCTGAGACAGGACGGAGGTATTCAATCCAAACTAACCAAGTAGTGTGGGGTTTTCATGGCCTTTATTTTTTTGCTGGTGCCTTCAGTTAGTAATCCAAACGTCTCTCTACCATGGCTTTACTTCTCCCCTCACACTTACTCAGGAGTGTCTCTTCTAATGCAGCTGTGCCGGCTGCACATCAGGAAGATTGTGGGCAAGCAGAGGCTGGATGGGATTCAGGACCTCCATCTTCCCATGGCATTGAAACGGTATCTTTGCTACCAATAAGACTCAGGGGGAATTCTGATGGACTAAGAAATGATTGTGAATAATTCACTACTCAGTCAGCAGGGGGGGCACTTACACAATCTGGTGGTGAGAAGGCTCCATCATGGCTCCTGGTAATGGATGGTGATTAATGACAATCCTCCTCTGTGAAAGACATCTGTAAACAAACTGGTTCTTCAACTCAATCTTGACATTTCTGTGAAAACTCTGAAAACTCTGAGCAAGTATCTTTGAATCATTCAACATTCCAAGATGTACATGATAAGAAAAAGTTGAGGGCTCATCAGTCAATAATTGATTAGACTGTCTTTATCTTTGTTGCACATTGTATAATGAAATCTGCTAGTAAGTGTAGTAATATTAATTTTAAATAAAAAGTGAAACAATATATATTTTTAATAAGAAGGTGTCATTTTTGAGCAAATATTTTTATCATATTGGATTTTGTTTCATGATTTTTACATAAAACATATTTTTAAAATGCAATCTTCTCCATATTGACTCTATATTGTTGCTACTGAATTCCTGGAAATGTCTAAGTGCCTTTGAGCAATTATAGAGCACACAATTAAGTGTATATCTGTTAGTGACAAGTGACAACACAGGTAAGTTATCTGCAGTCATTTTCTCTGAAAATATTTTGAAGCATGTTTGTAGCGGAACACATGAATGGAACAACAACTGTAGATAATATGATCACTTACACAGTGATTTTATACTGTGATTATGGTAACTTTATCAGGAGAAGGCACATTTTCTCTATGTCAAAGGAAGGATGGTTGGAAAGTAATCAGTGATCATTTGACTTTTATGTTTCATGTGTAGCTGGATGGCTTCATCACCCAGTGCACACAAACAGCTAGAACTTCGAACTGTAGTTCCCTTTCCCTTTTCCGTTCTTTGTTTCAATTTATGAAATCTTGATATAAAATTATCACTTTCAGGTTGCCTGCAGATTAAAAGAGATGAACATACATAAAGTAATCTGCATACAGACTGTGGAGGACTATGTTTGTAAAAGTGTTCTTGTTTTTCAGTCACTAAAAACAAAGGCTGTAATGTTCAGGGTTTGTGGTTATAAACAGGATGTGTTGAGATATTTCCCCAGAGTCTGAGGAGTTTATTTAAAAAAAAGACAAGCACAGCAGAAGGGTCAAGACAAAGAAAAAAAAACATCACGTGAAAATAAGGAAACCACTGATAGAAAAATAAACTGACACTAGTACTTCATTTCTAAATGAACGTGATGATCATGTGTCATTGTTTCCAGCTCATTCAAGTTGAGTAACAAAAAACAGCTCTTCACTGTGTCCATCAGATACAGCTTTGCATGTATTTGAAGAATAAAGCATTTATCAGCGTGGTATTTTCATGTGGTGATCTGCCATTACTGGTATAATAACCTGAGAAGGAGGAAAGGACATAGTACTGCAACAAACAATGAAGATCTCTATATACATTTAGATACTAAAAACTAAAGGATATAATGCTTAAGTAGGTCACCATTGCTCTCCACTGCCCAAATCTATTTACAATGTCCTGCCTGATTTCATGGTGATCATCTGTTTTTTCCACAGCCTGAAGCAGACACAATGCAAAATGCAAAGTAACGCTATCAACACTTTTGGGTTGCAAAATAATTCAGTGTCAGAAAAGCATCGTTGGTTTGGTTTTTAAAAATCCTACTGGACCTTCAGCTGTCAACACCCTCACCAAATACTCTTAAATGGTTCAGTGACCTTTGTGTTAGAATGTACAAAGTAAACAGCCAATCAGAGGGACAGAGAAACACCACATGGAGGGGGAGAGGAGAAAGGGTTAAGGATAGATGAAAATATAAGGAAATAAGTTAAGCATAAGAGTACATTTCTCAGTAATGTATAGTATAGTGTTTAGCAACACTGTATTATAAGCAATGACATTACGAGCTCTTTCATGCTCTTCAGGAATTCACTGTGAACTTCTTGTATTTTTGGTGTTAAAAGCAATAGTTTCTCAGCTCTCACACACACCTTCATGCACTAACTAACTTTTCATCAATCCCTGCAGCCCCAATTTCCAACTTGAACTAAATCATCATCCCCTCAAACATTGCATGAGTGCCTCACAGGGCCAACCAGATTAAACCAGGTTTCGATTTAACTGGTGCTTCATGTTAAATCAATACTGTGGATGGGCTTCTGAAGCTGCCGTGAAACACATACCGTATCCTCTGCCTGTAATTACTGACATAAAGACAATTAGGCGAGAGGAGTCTTTCTAGTAATCAGTGTCAAACGACCGCCCTAATTATTTTCCACTACAGCTACTGTGGCGTAACTGATCTGATGGCACTGTTTTTGTTTTTGTATTTGCTGTGTTCAGCGCAGCGTATCTGAAGGGCTTCTGTGCTGTGTAGCACTCAGATGCACTTAAAAAATTCACCAGCCTATGTGTGATGCCAAAGCTTTTACTTATTCTCATGAGGCAAACACCATTAACTCACATCCTATTTTTCCAAGTGCAAAAGCACTTACTAGCAAAATGGCGCAAAATGCATTTCTTACTGAAGGTTAAAGTGAAGCAAGTTTTACATCTGGCCAAAATGATCCACTTTGAATTTTCCAACTTCTTTAAGAGAAGAGCTATTCATAGAAGTTTTGCAAGAAGGGAGCATGTGGCCTCTATAAAATAATGAGTTACAGGAAATTCTACACAATGCAATCTTCAGGGAACAAACATTTAATAATAATATTATACTAATAATAAACATTTGTGTTTATAATCAACACAGGATTAGTTTAGCAGTTATGAGTCATTCCAATCATCCCTCACATGCGAGCAGCCACCACCTACTGTGAAGACACTGCAAATGTTGATCCACACACCCCTTATGTGCACACATCTAATAATCAAAGTGTGATCATTCCATGTGCTCCCTTTCTGATTGCTCCGAGCCAGATCTTGTTTTAGATATCAGTGCTTCCTATAAAGCTACAGTGAGTTGTGCTGTGTCCTTGTACTCTCCAGTAATTGCTTTGGTATTTAGTTTGCTGGTGTCGGGGTAATTAAAACAACTAGAAGAGATAGCAGAGAAAGAGTTCTCCTGTGGCTCCTTGGTCTGAGTGTGCAGTAAGGTCGTACATTGCAATGTTTTCAATTAGACTCATATGCTAATGAGACTTTAGACAAGTATGTGAATATTGTTATGAACAGGACAACTGAGTGACAGAAACATCTTCATCCGAGGACAAAAATGATTAACATTTGCTCTTTTATTTTCTTAACACGCCATAAAAGGGGAACAAAATCATTTGAATATTGAACACAACGAGATCAATTGACAAAGGATGTTTATTTTATAATCTTTTTACATTATAAAAAATTGTACATAGTGATCACAAAAATATTTGTTCCTACATATTGTGATGTTTACAATAAATAGAATTTGTTTAACTGTGTTGTCTTAAAAAATACATTATTGATTTGATGTCACATTGTTAAAAGTTACATTAGCTCTCAAGTGTCTGATAAGAGACAGGTTGAATCCTTTCATTTAGTAACTCTGCCAAAAACTCACATGTTCCCTAAAGTCAGCACTCCTCCCAGAATTGACAGCAGCCTGTGAGGAGGGCGAGGGTACAGAACCAAACTGCATCTTAGGTGGTCCACTCTAGCTCTGCTGCCGTAACAAGACAGTGTGTGCCTGTGGCCGGCAGATTGAAGGTGGAGGGAGCTGCTATGGTTGGTCAAGACGGTTGCTGAGAGGTACCCAGCAGGTAGAGGCATTGCAGGTTCAGCACCACGAGAACTAGCACCAACACAATGAGAACCTTCTGCACCCATAGACACGTATTCAGCTTCTGCTCCAGCCGGGAGTTGCACGTCATGACACGCATGATCTGGTGAGATAAAAACTGGATCACTGACCGGGTTTATCAATCTAACACACTTGCAATTACAGCTGTGGAAATAAATTAGATACACAGTAAATTCAAGGATTAGCTTGACGTTTTGGGAATATTTTTAATCTGTTTTTTGCCAAGAGTTAGATGAGACAGTTGATATTACTCTCATGTCTGTGTGATAAGTATTGGCCTGAAGGAGGAGGGCAATTAGCTTCTTTTTTCTAACATTCAGGCTGGAAGCATGAGATAAAAACAAGCCTGGCTTTCTTCAAACTTCCAAAATACACCTATCAGAACATTTTAAGATTGAAAAGAATCGGAATAGAGAATTTGTGGTTTTTGAGATAGTTAAGTGCAATATATCTAGATTCTGGTGGAAAAGGGCTGAGTAACTTCAAAGACTCTTGTCGTCTGGGTGGGGCTGTGAAGCAACCAGCAGGGAGGCTATACAGTAGTGCTAGGTGCTCGCATTAACATGTATTTTAAAGCTTCTGTGAGGAGTTTTTATGAGGTTCTGAAACAGATGGAAATTAAAGGGGACATATTCTGACAAATCCACTTCTACAGTGTTTTTGAACATATATTTGAGTAACCTGAGTGTCTACAGACCCACAAAATGTGAAATAAACCCATCCAGTCCTTTGTGGTCTGCACAAGTCTTACAACACAGAGAAAAGTCCTCCGTTTCAAATGTGCTCTCCTTGTGATGTCACAGTGGGATTTTGGTAAAAAAAAGACTTACACACATCCAGTAAATGTGTTATGGGTTCAAAGCTGTGACAGCTCATTTCTCATTACCGCAAACTTGCTAGTCACAGAAATACTTTTTATTTGTGTATGGCAAGTTGATGTCCCTGATGGAGGGAAACAAATACTGTTATTGAAATAATTAAGCTTTTCATATAACAGTCTGTTGTTCTCAGATTTTTAAAAGCACTTTCTAAATTAAAATCAAGTTCTGGTTTACCTCTCTGAAATATTATTGGAATGGTAGCAATGAGTATATAGTGAATAAAATGTATGATGTGAGACACTACAAAAATACACGGAGATGCATTTTGATTTGTGGTGTTGTTAAAATGCACAGTTTGAGTCATGGCTAGCTGAAAAGTAGACCAAGATACAAGTAGTAATGTAAAGGAACAGGGCTTTTTTTCCCCACTATAACTCACCATTGTGTTCAATTCCTGCTGCCCGCTGCTCCCCGTCTCGAGCAGGCTATCCTTCAGAGGACTCATTGTCAGTTTAGCACTCTCTAGAACATGACAGCGCAACCTGTGGGAGAGTCATAATGTAATGAGCAGGGGCTATCATAAAGTGATACACAGCCAACAAGTCCACTGTCACAACTGTAGAGACTGCATTTGACATATTTACTGACACAGATAAATGAGGAGCCCAGAGAAGTACCTGTGTTCCATAATCTTGGCTTTTGGTACTTCTTTCCAGAACTGTGCAAGTTCTTGTGATCCTGCATTGTCCATCTCTGCAGCCATAACCAAAAATCTGTCCTGTGGAGAGGCCT